CCCACGGCGCTGCCCCAGCAGCACCCCCAGAAAGGCCCCGTGGGGTGGGGTGGCGTGGCCTCGGGAGAACAGGTGGGACGTGCTCGCGCCCCTGCCTCTCGGGTCTCCCGGCGGCCCGAGGCCTTGGAGGCCCGTGTTTTGCCAAGTTGGCCGCGCGGTAAATGTTGGGGGACAACAACCACAGTAGGAAGTGCTTCCTCCTGGGATCAGGGGTTCCTGCCCTGGGCTCCGCCTCTGCAGCTCCTAGGTCTCTGCCTTCCCGGGTCGGTTCCCAGAACTTTCCTCTTTTCTGTCCTCCCTAAGAACCTGTTCGTTCTTGTGCCGACGAAGATCACCTTCGGACACTAGGTCCACCACTCATCACAGACCCGGCTAGTCTGACAACTGCAGGGCTTTTCCTTTCCAACGATGCCTGGACCAATGGTGTTCCCAGCCCGCATACCAGCAGATCCATCCACCCATCCATCCATCCACCCACCCATCCATCCATCCATCCACCCATCCATCCACCCATCCATCCATCCACCCATCCATCATCCATCCACCCACCCATCCATCCACCCACCCATCCATCCATCCATCCACCCATCCACCCACCCACCCATCCACCCATCCCCAGCACTACCGAGTGCAAACCCTGGTGTTGTCCCTCCCTATCACTCTTAGACACCCCACTCTTCACAGCCCAGCTGGGTGCCTCACCTCCAGGAAACCTTCCCTGCTGGACCAGCACCCAGACTGGGTCCTTCCTGTCCTGGGATCCCGGCTGCGTGCATTTGTGTCTTCTTTCTCCCAAAAGGCAAGCGCCAGGGGAAAGCCACCCTTCTGGTCCCTCAGCACCCAGACTGGCACCTGACAGATACATACTTGCTGAGTAGGAAGCAAGGCGAGTACAAGAATATCTTGGTCATCGACAAATCTTGTTGAGTCTTCCTTCCCAGTGTCATTTGGGATTGGTTTCCTCCTCCCAGGCCTGACTGTGCTCAGCTGGATTCCAGTGGTCCCCCATAATCCCCATTAGTCATGGGGGGATGCATTCCAAGACCCCCAGTAGGTGCCTGAAACTGTGGGTAGCATGAAACCCTCTGTTTTTTCCTATATGTACATGCCTTCTCACTTAAAGGAAGGACTGGGCAGCTTCCCGTTGGCATGCCCACATTGCCAGCATCACTACTTTTGCACCTTGGGGCCATTGTTAAGTACAATAAACGTTACTGGAATAACACGAGCACTGCGTGCAATACAGTGACAGTCGATCTGATAACCGAGACAGCCACTAAGTCACTAACGGTGGAGAGTGTCCACGGCACGAACACACCGGACAAAGGGTGATTCACGTCCCGGGTGGAATTTCATCGCACTCCTCAGAACGGCATGCAATGTAAAATTTATGAATTGTGTTTTTCTGGAATTTTCCACTCAATATTTTCATACTGCAAGGTGAAGATAGGCAACTGAAACTGTGGGAAATGAAACCGTGGATAAGGGGGGACTACTGTATTGCCACCAGCTCCAAGTTCCTATAGACTCCTTCCACCAATGAAGGCTGCCCACTCCTGCCCCCCGAAAATGCTCTGTGGATGATTGAGTTTCTCAATAGCTAGGCGCTTTGTTGGCCTGGGAACATAAGAAAAGAGATGCCCTTACTTAAGTCGCTAACTGTTCCAGGGTGACAGACCCCTGCCCCATGGCTACCATGGAATGTTACCGGGGGATGAAGCCACATTCCCACAGATCTTTCTCCAGGGAGCTATCCAGCACGTGGGGCCAGGTTACACAGACCTTCTGGACAACCTTAAAGCTCTTATTTCATCCTCTGGTTTCGCCCCATCAGCGGATGTACGTGGTGACGGTCTCAGCGCCAAAGACGGCTTTTCCCAGTTTCCCCTCTCGTTCCTGGTCTGCACCCATCTCAGCCGGCACGTTCCCCAGACGCAGACGGCCCCGGTCCGGGACTGCGCACCTCACCCAGGGGGCATCCAATCAGACCCAGGCCCCCACGGTCTTGCTGTTGGTGCTAAATTTAGGCTGTTTTCTTGAGCTGAAGCAAAAGGGCAGAGCACGTGTTCTGGAGAATCCACCTGCAGCGGGACGGTGCACCTGCTCTCCGGCGCCCTCAGCATCTGCCCTGAGCCCTTCCTCGGGCTCTCGGTCGGCTCTCACCCGCACAGGCACGCCCCTCCCGGCAGGAGAGCTGACCTCCAGCTTTGCCTCTGAACATCAGGACCCTGGCGCCCTGCCCCCTCCCACGCACCCACACTTCTTTCTGTTCTCACCATCACCCACCCGGGCTCGCCGTCCGCTCCTCGTCAGGACCCCCAGGAACCCACTGCACCGTTGTTGCTCCCTGTCCCCCAGTTTTACTCCGTTCTGCTCCACAGGCTCCTGTGGTCCAGGGACCATCTGCCCTGTCGGTACCCTCATCCCCCATCCCCTCTCTCTTGCGCCTCTTCGTCTGTCTTCGAAGGAGAATCATCCACTGCAGATCCTTTTGTTTCAATGCAATTCCTTTGACTCTCAATCCTCGAAGTTCTGCTTTCTGACCCTGTCACCTCCCAGAAACTGCTCCCCCAAGAGCCCCCAGGGCCATCCCAACGCCAGACACAAACTGGAGTTTGCTAGTCCCCGGCTCCGGCTGGGCCTTTGCGTGCAGTACCCCTCAGCCCATGTGCTCTCCTGTCTTGACACATAGATCCTCCTCACCCCGCAAGGCCAGCTTCCCCAGCTGCCCTTTCGGGAGGGGTGCTGCTCTCCATGAGGCCTCTCCTGCAGCCCTGCCTCCCCCACCTCCTCCGAGAGATCAGTGCGTCCACCTTGCACATTGACAAGCATCTACTTCCTTCCTCAGTGGCAACGATTGCTCTTCATGTGGTTTTACCCCACACAGAGACTGACATGTGCCCACCGCCTAACAGGCACCCAGCTCCTCTACGCTCAGGGGTGAATGATCTGCCTGTATGTTTCCTGAGAACACAATGAAACAGGTTGTGGCTTCAGCCAATCACAAATCTCCAAATTCAGAAACTGGAGTTAATTAGGGTAAATTCCCTGGATGTGGGCACCTTGGCTTTAATGAAAAATCCATCGAGACACCCTACTGAGTAGCCATGTAAAAGAGGAGCAAATTGAGCTTAAGAAACAAGAAAGTTTGCGGTTTGACTTAACATCTCGCGATGACTTTGGGGTTGAACTCATTGCCTCTGACGATAAACTGCAACTTGCTGAGTGGGACGGGAACCCAGTTTTCAGCAGGAAACTCTTGAGGACTGGCGGTCATTCATAATCGCCCGAAATCCAACAGATCTGTACGTGAAGCGGACAGCAGCATCTATTTCTGTTAAGTGGAACTTCCGTTAATCAACAATGTTTTTAACATGCGCAGGCTCCATAATGATGCCCCGCTCCCCATCACCTCCGGCGAATGAGCCTGGCCCTCTGCAAAGCTGGCCGGCTCCCCCGCTCCGCTCCCCTTGCCCGCTGCCGCCTGGAGAATCCGCGGCCTTCCAGGAGCCAGCCAGTCTGATGACTCAGCTCATAAAACAACGTGTGGCCACAGAGCTGTTGTTTACTCAGAAGCATCCCGGAGGCTCCTGCTACTGAAGCCGGCAAGCAGTCGGCAGGCAAGCGGTGCAGGATGCTCATTCTCCCAGGAGTTCCTGGTCTCGGTGCCAGAGCAACACTCCACTCCCTCCCGCAGCAGTTCATCTCCTCGGACGCTCTGTCCGAGCAGGACCGCGGGGAAACTTCAGAGCCACGCAGTGGGGATGGAGGCCGGGCAGGTGGGGTGCAGGAGCAGGAGCTGCCTGCAGCGAGAGCGGGTGCCCACCTGCAGCCCAGGGGCAGGTGGAGAGGCGGCTCCGTACGGGTGGTACCCACCTCCGCTCCTCCCCGCTGGGTCCCTGGGAGGGGGGCCGCTCTGGCACATAAAGCATCCGCAGAGCTACTTTTCTTCACAACAGAGAGACACCCAAGCTGGTCTCACTTCACCGCCACCCCATGTTCCCCCAAAGCAACAACTTCCAGGAACTCTCCCCTCAGGAGGCCGCATGGGAACAAAGGCCGAACAGAGTGGGTGAACCGAGAGATGGCTGACAGCGTTAGGGTCCTTTCGGGTGAAGAGACCTAAGGGCCCGAGAGGATATTATTAGCATTTTGCTTTAAATGTTGTTGCATCTGAATCTCTGCAGTGGGGAGGGCACAGGGAAGAGTGTGAAAAAGAGCCAGATTAAGCAGAGCAATATTTCTTTATTTTCCCTAAAATGACAAGCTTTGGCCATCTGTTCCTATTGCATCAACCCATTCAAAATACTAAAATGCAAATTCCTCGCCGTCAGCCAGGGCCTTTCAGATGAGAAATGACCAAACCTTCCCTGATTTCAGCCTCTGGAGACAGGCGTGCCACCTGCAGCTGGGCCAGCGCTCTCGAGCCCCCCAGTGAGAAACACCTGATGTGGCAGAATCCTCGCCCCCTCCCTCCCTCCCACGCAGGACACGGCGTCACCTGAAGACACTGCTGTGTGGGGTTCTCCTGGCACCCTCGGCCCGCACACCGGAACTGCCACCCAGCAGGTCCCAGTAAACATTGCTTGAAGGAATACATGCGTGAATGAGTAATTCCCCCCCCCCCCCCCCCC